AAACCTCTGACTTGCCCACACAGGGAGCATTCACYGGCCAAGTTCTAGTCGCTATGGCCCAAACTGGTCCATGGGATGGTGGGACATTACCTGGGAAAGGGGACAAGAACTCGCTGGCCACTTTTCCTCATTTCACAAGTTCCAGGTCTTCCCTGGACATTGGTGAGTCCAGGGCCACTAGAGCCAGCAGGTTTCTGAGGGAGGTTCTGGAGAAGGTCCCCAGAAGGTCCCCAGGCTGGTGGCCTTTGTCCCGGGAGATGCAGTGGGCTGGGAGCAGCCRCGGTGCCAGCGGTTGCTGAGGGCAGGCGCATGAGCGAGGTGAAATACCAGCTTGCCAGGCCTGGTTCCTCATTTCTTCTGACCGGGAGACCGCAGGGCAGCCCTCCAGTGTCACGCAGCTAAAAGGCAAGTGCAATTCTGTGGCACAAGTGCACTCAGTGCTCTGCAAAGGGCACACAGGGCACAGCAGAGGGACACGGTGCCCTGGGCAGCTGCACAAATACAGCACAAAGCATCATCATTTCACAGATCAGTTGAAAGAAYGAATAATTCTATGATTTTGGCATTAATATAAATATATATTTATGCATATATATACACACACACGTATGCCCATGTTTAGAGTAAAGCATATAGGCTACCTCTCTGGTCTTGGCCCTTTCATGATGGGTGTTCTGTCCAAAGTGCCTTGGGTTGCTCCAGTGGTCTCTGATTTATCGTTGAACAGTCCAGCACTGCTGCCCTGGAAATCAGGCTTGGATTTGGCCATACAGAAGCAGCCAGCAGTGAAGTATTGCATGAAAACAGCTCTTCTTTACCCCAACAACCAAGTTTTTTTAGGGAGACGAAGCGAAGACAGGAGGGAAAGGCAGAGCAGAGTTAATGGCTGCTGTTTAGGTCAATAAGGTATCGATTCCATATTTTGCGGGCTAAAAGGTTGACCTTTTAAAGGGCAATTGGCGCCTGCAGGATTTGATTTAGGAAAAAGAGAAGAATTTCAATTTAATTTTCACTTCCTATTTTGGCTGGGAGAATCTTGCAAGACTGCAGATGCCAAAGATGTTTTTTTCCTCTTCTCTAAGAAAGAAGGAGGCTTTTTTCCCCTGGGTTTTTACCCTCCCAAGCATCTCCCGTACCCTGGCAATTCCCATTTTCTTTCCCCATAAAGAACAGCTAAAATGGAGCCACATGGAGGCTCCCTGTTCCCTCAGCTCCTTCCCTGGGCTGCTCTCTTGGGAAAACCACACAGATAAGAGAGACCATCACTCCATGATCTTCTTAGCCTTGGTGGGGCAAAAATGACCAGAGCCTTCCCCGAGCCACCCCACTCCACAGTCAGCCTCATGTGGTGCAATCACTGTACCATGTAATGCAAAAGCGTTAGCAAAGTTGAAAAGTTCTGAGCTGGCACCATCGTTTGCAGCTAATGTGATTTTTCCAGGGCTGGTTGGGAGGTACCATCAGCACTGGGACAATTCCAGTTTGCAAGCACTCCTGGGGAATCTCTGTTCCTACCTTAGTTGCTCTCTGGATACTCCAAGACCTCTGTTTTTCCTGCAGAGCCATCGGATTTTGTGCATTCAGCAGCACAAAACGGCTACAAGGAAGACTGAAGTCTGCCATTTACTTTGCCAAGACAGCTGGYGAAAGTGATGTACAGCTGAGCATTTCATCCTGTCTGCCAAGACATATTCATTTTGGATTAATTTTAAGACAGTTTTTAAAGTGATAATGAAGGATTATGCAGAATGCTTCAGCAGCATTAAAAAAAATCACTCTCTTTTTTTAAATCTCTCATTCAGATTGTCCCAGTTTGGCAGCTCAGCGGTGCAGCTGATTTGCGATTTGGAGGGATTCACCAATAGTGACATTTTCATTTATCTAAGTCCATGGAAGTGCTGGCACAATCTGTGGGTGGGAGCAGAGCTTGCGATATTAAAACACGGCTACTTGCAATAATTCATTTGCAGCGAGGCTATATAGACCTAACATATGAAAAGCATCCATCCAGCAAAAACATAGCATCTATGATTAAATGCTTGCAGGCTTCTCATGCTGTAAGCTCAGCTGGAGCCTTGCAACTCAGRGTAACTGCTCTCAAAGAGCAACGTACCTACAACAGTGTCGCTCCTGCAAGTCTTTCCAGCCACAGGAGCTCAGCAAGGGAGCACAGACAAGGGAGCCAAGTCCTGTAGATAGTGACAGACATAGTGGGCACGTGGCTGCTCCTGACACACCAGTTTATGTTCTCACCATTTAGGAGTGGGTGAGCAGGGGGTTATTTCAGCATTGCCTTCACATCTCATGGCACCATGTTGTCTTGTTGTCCATGCACACTCCCGGAGGACCGTYGCACGTGAAGGCACAGATGGAAGTGCAATGCTGCAGGTACATGCCCACAGCCAGAGTGAAGGTGGCAAAGCTTCTCCGAGCTAAGCCCAAATTAACGGCCAGCCTCATCCAGAATAACAACCAACCGTGTGGAGCTGGGACGCTCTTCCCCACAGAGTTTAGTCCCAAGGGATGTCTGCAAGGTGCTGAGAGCAYCTTGGGTGCTCTCTCACCGTGGGTGCTGCTAGAAGATGGCCAGGAYGTCTGCTAGGAGCCATAGCCAGGGCAAACTGTTAAGAATTCTCTGGCAATAAGCTCCACGGGCTGCCCTTTAGTTAACTCTTCATGGTCAAGACTTTAGAGCGAACGGAGCYTCTCCTTCCACCTACCTCCCTGTTCACACGAAGCACAACAACAATTAGTCCCAAACCCTCGGGTCCAGAGGGTGTTTGGCAAAGCTGAGCACAACCTACAGCCCTGTCTAGCCACTTGACTGCAACTTGCACAAGGAGGAGATAAACATATTGCTCTCCCCTTTAAACGACAAATGACATTTTACCGACAGAAATGTTAAAATGGATTGGTTCCCTTATCATGCTGCTGAAGACACTTTTATGGATTATCTGTCTTAAGTCAAAGGGGAAAGAGCACTCTTGGAGTCTGAGGGCGTGGGTACATTTAATAGAGCACCTACCACAACATCAGCCTGAGAAATGTCCRGAATAAAAAGCCTTGATGCAACCCCCAGTGCTGCGGAAAGGTCCCCCAATGGAACAGTTCTAGGAAGATTCGCACCCCAATCTAAACTTTAGCATGATACGAACTCAGAGGGGAAGAGACCACAACTGTAAAAAGGAACATACTGAGTCACCATTTCTATTCTCTGAATGTGATAATTCAACCAAACCAGTTGCATGATCAGTTGCACAGCTGTTATCTTACAGACCAAGATGGAAATGCTTGTAGAGCCTACCGAAAAATCAACACCCCCCAGTCCAACAAAATGGCAACAAGTCAAGCACACGGAATGACTGGGCTGCCACCCTGCTATTTACAGCAGTGGGCATTTATGTAAGATCACCTGAGATACTTGGGTACCAGTGAGATCAATTTTTAACACTTAGGCAACTGAAGACCTGTTGGATTAGGACTGGAAAGGATTTACAGGGACCAGGCAACTAAGGAAGTGAAATAATGGAAAAATGCCTGGTCTGCAAGCATATTGGGAAGGTTTTTGCCAATGGAGACCAGCTGATCAGGAGACAGTCAATMATGGGTTTGACTTCAGCATGACCAAGCCTAATCCCTAAGACTGCCAAACCATACAACATGGGCAAGAATAACCTCAACTTTTCAGCAGATCAGCTTTTACCCAAAATACCAGAGTTTCCAGACAGTCAGGCGGGGCGAGGGGATGTTTGCTTCTTCCTTGCCTGTTTAAATGTAGATCAACACTCTAGCAGACCCGTTGACAACCGTGTGCATCATTCCTGCAACTTGTCTCACATGCCTCCTCCTCTGCTTTAGGCTAGTAGGGCCTTATTTTTCCATATCCTCAAATGTGGAAGATTTTTGGACTGCTTTTCCACAAGTTGAGGACACCTGACTCATCTGTGAGAAAGTAAGAGAAGACAATCTAGTTTGCAAACAAACGTCCCATTTTAAGGCTACAACCACCTATGGAAAGTGCAGAGGGAGCTGGCAAGAGCTTTCCACTAAATGGGAATGAGCGTAATATTGCAGCAGGACACATCCCTTCCTCCTCCACGCTCTGATTTAACTCTTTGCTTGCTTGATAAATCAAATGTGGGTCTTCCTTACTGCAAATCATTGTGAAGGTACAAAACCTGCACACGAGCGTCAAGCCCAGCTGGCCGAACATCACTGCGCCGCTGCAACTGTGTCAAACAAACACCACTGCAGACTGAATTTACTTGTTTAAAATGCTTTTTTTGCCTTTTTTTTTTTTTTTATTACGCATAATAAATCTTCCACACAAAGTAATGAAAAGGATCCCTAAGGTGATACTTTACAGATGTGAAGGAAGAGGGAGTATTTGTGAACATGCCACGCTGCAGACTTGAGGAGCCGACGGGAGGCGCCYGCTTTGCGCCCGGATCTGGGGCTGGCCCGGCCGCTGCAGCTCTGCCTTGCAGCTCCAGCCGCTCCAGAGCAGCCGGGCTCCGTCAGCCTTGCCCATTAATTAAACGTGCAAGGAAATGATGTGATCGCAACAAACCTGTTCCTTCTGCTCTTCGATATCACAGGAACGAGGGGACGGTGAGAAATAATTTGCAGTGTGTTTCCTGCATGGATCTGGCGGGCTGGTTTGACCTATCTTACCAGATTGCTGCTTCGCATAACCCTTTTCTATAGAAAAAGCCCTTCTGAGGAAAGTTGGGTTCGCTCCGGTTTGGCTCCCTTTTTGGGGCTAAACACCTGCTCCATCCGAGCCCTTTTTTGGGAAGCTTCTCCTGAAGGTGTGGGGTGGTGGGTGGCATTAGGGGTGCAAAAGTGCATCTTCAGACTGACCTTTCCAGAGAGCACGCAGCTCTGCTGACTCCCGAATGCTCCTTGGCTTGGAGGAAAAGAGAAAATTACAGATCGCTGCAGTTACCAAGGCAAGTCGTTCCCCTTCGACGTTTGCTTGGAGCCAAAAAAAAAAAAAAAAGAAAAAAAGAGTCCTAAAGATAGAACAGACATATGTGCAGCTCGGGCACGGTTCAATCATTTCTTGTGTTCTACTAAGAAAAACCTGCAGCTCCACTCTTGCTACTGCCCCATCTCCAAAGCTTATGCCATTTCCAAGTCCTAAATGCTCTGGTGCTGTGCATGCCTCTTTGCAGTCATATTTAAATAAATACGGAAAAGCTTTTTTTTTTTTTTGCTTTTTTTTCCTTCTAAGCTAGCATTTCCATGGATTTCCACCTTTAAATTAGCAGATAAAAGTACAAGTCTAGCCTAAACTTCAGGGAAAGAGAGTGCAAATGATCCTAAAAGCCACTCAGGACTGTCTGAAAGCAAGTGCACCCTGTGCTTCAGCTCTGTAAGCAGGACATGCTGGGGCAGGCAATGAATATAGGGAATATAAGGATTCATCATATACATTGAGGAATGGTCTTCCCGATCTCTATGCTTTGGCATGCAACGTGCTGGTGACACTCAGCAGCACTGGGATGACAACAGTGCCTGTGTCCCCGTGCGAGCGAACATGGCCAGGAGCCTCCCCAGGGACGAAAAAAATAAAAAAGGCCATTTTGAAAAATGAGATGTTCTCTCAAAATCCGGCCAGTCCATTTCCTTTGCTTTTCCAACTGCAGAGACTGTTTGGGGATTATTTGCCTTAAGCCAGGTACGTCAGAAAAGGACACTTCCAAAAACAACAACAATTTTCTATATTCAGGGAAATTTACATTTCTGCCCTAAACCCTGCAAGGGCAAACAGGGAACTTTCAACATGGCATTTTGCCCGGGGATCCCCACCACGACACACCTTTTTACAGGACGTTGGCCTGTTTTACAATCTCATAACTATTTTCTTTGGACATCCATGCATGCGTTCAACTTCCCGAGGTGGAGCAGAGCAAGGGCCTTTGCTCTGAGCACCAGGACTTGTAGCTCTCTAAGCAGCACTTGCCAAACTGAGAAGGACTCGCTATTGAAAACCCTCCCACCAACTTTGTGGCATCAAAATGGGGGGTTTTGCACGTGCCTGCAGAGCTAATTTGGTTAATAAGCCGTTTGCTAGTTGCTGGCATGACAAGGGGGACACCACTTTGGAGACCGCAGCCGGGACGGTGCCTCCCAAAGCAAGAGCGGCCCTGGGGCTGGAGACACCCACCACAGGAGCCAGCAGAGCTTGGCCCAAAGAAGCTGCCTCGCTTTACAGAAAGGAAAAAGCAAACGTGACTTCCAAATCGCAGCTCCTGCCGTCTCCTCCCACATGCAGCCCGGCAAAGCTGCAGGAGCAGTCAGCGCTGAGGCAGGCAGGAACATCACACCCCATGTGTAAGGCCTCATCTTCATCAAACAAGCTCGAGGGGAGGGGGCTATAAATACAAACGTGGCCTCCAAGGCCAGGTCTTCATGGCCGCGACGCCGGAGCCGCAGTGTCCGCGAGCAGTGACCTTGGCTCTCCGTAAGCTTTGGGGTTGGAGGGGACCAGGTATTCAGATGTGGGGCCGGGCCGGGGTTTTGGAGCCGAGCTGGCCTGGCCGCGGCGGCCGCCCCTTCAGCCTGAGTCCATGGTGAAGAGCTGGATGTCGCGGGGGTTCCAGTACAGGGCCACGGCCGAGTTGTAAACCAAGGACCAGACGTAGGGGATGAAGAACTCCTCCGGCTGCTCCTCTTCCACGTACTTGAACTTCAGCTCGGGAAACTTCTGCAAGGAGAAACAAGAGCCCATTGAAGGGAGGTTTGCAAACAGGCAGCCCACACAGGCGCTGGAGAAAAAAAATAATGCAAGGAGCTGAACTGCTAGACTTGCAAGAAAACATTGACCATGAAGGAGAAAGAGATTATTTATAACTCCACCTTTGAGCCGGATGCTCCCCTGGCACACTGTGTTTTGCCCTTTGGCTGTTGGTCACACTTCTTACCCCTGGATTCGCCCTCAGTTTGTCTGTCAGCACAGACTGGCCACGTGAATCCTTTACAAAGGTCTTAAAGAGAACTTATTTACAGGGACCCTGCTACAGCCTTCTTGCTTGTGCACATCCAGACCTGCTTATTTCAGTCCTCTCCAAAAAGGATTCTGCTGTGAATTGCGCTCCGCTCCCCAGGAGGACACTCCTTTGGAAAGCTCCTAAACACACACACAGTTTGCAAGGTGTTTTCAAGAAAGCACAATGTAATGGCAAACTCTTTTTTTTTTTTTTATCCTTCTCCTATTTCTCCTTGACTTTCCCAATATAGAAGTTTCCAGGACAGAAGGGTTCTTTTCCCAGGAAGCAGGGGGGAGGACGGAAGAGTGGCCAGACTCGTGGGTGGGTTCTGGGAGATGCTATTTGCAGCTCTGCTCACAGGTTCCTCCGCAGCTTGGGCCCGTGTTTTGGGGCAGAGCTGAGCCTATTTTTACATCGAGCTATTCAATCATATCGCCTGCTTCTAAATGTTGCCTGTGTCAAAAGCTTGGCAGAGCCTCAGAGAAAAGCCGCATTACAATGATCACTGGGGTAAGATAAAACAGGGCCCATTTTATTATTTATAAGGCTGTGGCTAAGACTAAGAATAAACTCGACGGTGTGACATGATCAGAACAAGCGCGGCACTGGCTGAGGAGCCTCTCTGCCCGTTAATAATGGAGGGAAACCCTATCACCTTCCCCGTGTTCACCACACTCCCTTTCCCTGGGCTGGGGTATGAGACCCTTCCGAGGGGCCTTTTGTGGCCACGTGGCTTTCCGGGCAACTCCTTTAACTTTTGCACCCCAGCCTATTTGTAGTCATGGGTGCACGGCTGAGTTTCGTTTCCTCAGGGTGACACGCACAGTCTGGGGCACAGAAGTTCTCCCACGACTCTTGGGTGTCCTCAAGCCATTCTCCATGACCTCTCTCCCCCGGTCTGTTCTGACCATTCTGCTCAACCTTCCACATCATTTGCTTCCTCAGTCTTAGTTCCCCACTAGACTCACCCTCAATTCCTAGTCTACTCCCTTCCCCAGCTCAGCCCCTGTGTCTCCATGGTCTCTCTTTATCCCATCTTCTATTTTGCACTCACCCACAATTTCTTTTTCCTCACCCCTACAGGCAAAATTCTTCCCCTCCCATTTCCTCTTTCTTTTCTCAGCATTAAGCATCACCTCTCTTTTACCACTGCATCCCCACCCCTGTTGCCCTTGCTGGGTTTCTCCTCAGGTAATCCTCCTGAGGAAAGCACCTTGAAGATCCCTACAAATATTCCCTTATTTCAGCTCTCCTCATCTTCTCATCCTAAGCTTCCTGCTAGGACTTTTCTGCCTTGCGAGATCCTCCTCTTTACCAATATCCTCCGTTCCTTTCCCTTTTGGCTTTCCAATTCCCAAGCTATCCCACTTTAGCCCCCTGCCACTCCTCTCAGGGGCACTGGGATTCCTTTGGCAAGCTCAGCCTCACCCCAATCCCGACCTTATCTGTTATATATAAATGTAATAAATATATATATAACATATATATGCACATTTTTTTTCTTTAAACCGATATCCTACCTTGCTTATCCACAATGTAATCTTCCCCACTTCCCTCCTAAATGCTTCCTGACTTGTGGTCAGCGTAGACAGAAACGTGCTCAGTTCAGCACTGCATCAGCAGAATGACTGGTTAAACCTCACGACTAAACCACCGTAACACTTCCTAGCAGAGAAAAGCCCTTACACAGCTGTCATCCGTTACCCTAAAGGTGGCTGCACACCAGCACTGCAGCATGGAGCAGGCCCTTAGAGGCTGAAGGGAAAAAAAAAGTGATTAAAGACGCTAATTGCAGAGGAATTAGACACTGATGATTTTTTTTCCACCTTCACAGCCATAGCTTATTACTACTGGCTTTGCAAACACTTGTGGCACCAGTCTGGGACCACTTTGGATTCTTATGTATCTTAATAAATGTCATCTTTAACTTTAAAGTGCTAAGTTAAATTGTTTTATTAGAAATTCCAGTAGTTACATCAGAGGTGCTCTGCTCTCACCGTGCCATCATCTCTCTGCCTGAAGGGCTGCATAAAATAAGCTAGATAGCTTCAGTATTTTCAGGTAATAACTGTCATGTATTGATTTTATTACTATGCTTTTCTTCAGACTGATCAATGTTGCCATCTCTTGTGATCACACTGTAGTGATTTAATAATCAAAGTCCAATTAACGACAGTCAATCACTGCAATCACCTTATCACACTGGGTGTTTGTCTCGATCGTGCTGCAGCTTGGGAACATACAAAGGCTAACAAGATTTTAAGGAGAGAGATAAGAGGAACATGAGTGACACAGAATAATCTTAAGATCGTCACATTCAAGCCACCTGGAAACGTTTCTGACTTGCTGGACTGACTTTAAAACACTTCAGACCAGCAAGCATTAAACACCACGTGAAAAGTTTCCCCACTGCCATGAAGCTTTAGGATTTTTGCCATACGGTGGCTCAAGGCAGGTCGGCACACAGCTCTGTGCCATTCCCCTCTGGCACGTGGGCTTCCACACGAGCAAAGGGAAGCCCTTCTCAGCAGAGCTGTGAACCAGCCGGGTTGGGGGCCCTCAGAGCACTCCTGGAAAACACAGGGACAGCGCGGGTGACACGTTCATGCTCTTGGGTTTGGTTTGAGCTTTTTATTTTCCCTTTATTTTTCCACTGACTACCACAGCTAACAAAATCCCCCAAATTGCAAGGCAAAGCAGCAGTTAACGGCTCCTGCAGAGCCATCATTCGCATTTGGACCCTGCCATGGCCCAGCCTGGAGCTAGTTTCCAAGCAGCCTCCCCGGGCCCGTGCTCGCTGGGTGCTTCAGAGCCCGCGGCAGCGCTGGGACCGAACGGCAGGCTTTAAACAGACGCCGCTTATCAGCTCCGCGGAATCAACCTACCGCAGCAACCTATCTTGTGTGCTCTGCCAGACAAAGCAGAAGTCAGATTTAGTGGTTGGGACAGGGCGAGAAAACTAGACAGACCAAAACCTTTGCAGACTGTCTGAGCCGTCAATCATACGATTCGATGAAAACCCACAGGAAGTCCGATGAACAGATGTAGAGCTCGACTGCAACAACTCTGCCACCACAAGAGCTCAACAACATCGGTTTTTCTCCTTTTTTTCAGTTAACGATTGGGGAGATAGCATCACGACCAGCCAGCAGCACCTGGCACAGCTCCAGGCAGCCCGGTGGCATTAAAGCTCAGCTGCTTCAGCTGTACATTGAGGAACACTTAAACCCTTCCACCACAAATTCAACATTAGAGGGGCTGAGAGGCCGCAATGTCATGTCAATGGATGGCCTCCAGTCCATGATAACACATAAGCAAGGGGGAAGGAGCAGCTTTGAGAGACATTTCTGAGGTCTTTGCTTTTCTTTGTCTTCGCTTTTCAGTGATTTTACTGCATGGAAGCAGTCCTTATCTAAGGAATGAGATAGTTGGTACAGAAAAGAAAGAAATCAAAGGATTGCATTAACACAAAACTGGAGAATCTTCTTTTCCTTGAGTACTCTGTATGAAACTCTTGCTTCTGAGACAGCAAGCCAAGACAAGCTAGTACTTTCAAAAGCACCTGCCTGCTTGAGGAGAAAAGTAGCACTTCCAAAAGAGTTTTACGCACATCGGAGTCAAATTCTCATTGACTTGCCATCAATCAGAAGCCTCAAAGTCTTCCTGAGCCAGCTGTATGCACGTAAAAAATCTTACTGTGAACCTTGTTTGGGACCCTAATGACATGCTGGCAAATCATGTGTTTCAGAAAACTGTAGCTAAGCAGTAATAACATGGGGTTAGAGTGACACAATAACGAGTCTTTGGTGTAGGTGTCCTAATGAGTATTTAGGCCAAAGGTGGTAATTTTGGTACAGCAAGGCTTAGTTCTGGAGCCTGCACCACATCGAAAAGACTGAGCTGTAACTAGTTGGGGCCGAGAATGAACATCTCCATGTGTCTGCAAAACCCATGGTGCCACTTTCAGGTCTCATCCCCCAAATCCTCATCTGCATCAGATTGAGTCTTGAAAATAGTTCAGCCTCGCATCTTGTTCCTGATATACACACATACATATGGAAATATTTAATAGAAATATATATATGTGTTCATAGGTATGCAAGCATATATAAGCATTTAGGTACTCTGACAGCGTCCAGTTTTCCACCATTTCTGGAAAACATTTGTGATTACTTGCTCCAAAACACTGGCAGGTCAGATTTTTGCAATTATTTATTTTCTTCGTGAGAGATAAAGCTATTTCATCTCTCACTGCTTCTCTCTAGGTTCATGCTACTTCTCTTGGACTCATGACCGAAAGTCAACACGACTTCGGAGAGGCGTCTGCACGGGTTATTATGTCACACCTGCCTGATACCATCTTCATATATTTTCTAGGCTTAAAGACTAGACAGCGCGGTGGAAGGTTACGCTGGGGAGACAAGGGGAGCAAACAGGAAATCTTCTAGACTAAGCAAGAGCTGCACATTTTGCTCAAAACCCTGCCTAAGGAATAGGTGCAAACTCGTAAAGACCAAGAGCGATGACCTGGAGTGCATCAGATTTTGAAGACGACCCAGAAATGCTACTTTCAAAAATGCATGCCCAGGTTGAACGTCCTGCACAGTTTAAGCTATTGCATGAGCTGGAGCAATGTTTTTCCCAGGGAGTAAAACTCAGTAAACAGATTAAGCTGCACTCGTGTAACGAGATGTGACCTTCCTCGTCCAGCAGAACG